GCACGGCCATTAAGCCACCTGTAATTTCAAAAGCGGATGTTGCGAAGAGGTCATTGGCCATTGGAAGACTAGATTATATAGTGTGACTGGTCAAGAAAGTTAGTTAAAAAAAAACTGCTCATGCAATCTGGAGCCTCTTCTTCTAAGGCTTAGTGCCATTCCTTACAGAAAGGAGATGATTCACGCGGTTGAAATGCATCCCCACCTTGATGCTACCACATCTTGCAATAACGCCTCGAAATCATCTCTGCTCTTTCCTTCTTTGAAGAGCTAATATTACGTAAAACATGTGCTTTAGTGTGGACTCCAAACCACTACATGACGCGTTCAAACACCTATAGTTTTAGACACGTTGACAAAACGTGGGCAGCCGTTTTCGAAATGTCCCATTATATTGCAGTAGCGCCGAAATTTAGCACTTTTCTGTACTCCCCAGAAGGACTCGTCCCGCCTTTGGCACCTCTTATGGGAATCATAGAGCAAAGGCAAATGTCGTCATAAATCAGCCAAGAATATGATGTTTGGTATGGGGACGTCTGCGGTGATTTCTTTTTAGACGGCACTGCAGAACACTCCGGTCGAAAGTTCATCTTGCGCTGATTCTCATTATTTAGCACGAATTTGTTATATTTATTATGTTTGAAGAGATGTTATTTACTATATTTGAAGAGATGGAGCTGCGCCTTAGAAGGAAGGGCGGTGAGAGCTACTCAGGACTGTTCTCGTTACTACGACGCTGCTGCGAATCTTGCTCAAAATATCTACTAGTAAGCGAACGAGCTCAGCTTTCGTTCTAGCCAGTAGGACCTTCAACAGTAGTTACATAGTGACGATTTCAGTACCACTGATGGGAAGTACGTTCAAAAAGAAGGAATGAATAGAGTAATCTATGATGCCATGTACCAGTGGACGATGCCAGCCGAATACTACAGCCAGAAAATAGAAGTACCAAAATTCAGACCTTTCAACGTAACGAAGTATCGAAATACCGCGATTCTCACGTTCGCGAATGTAGGTTACCCGTTTTTTGCTATGAGAGGATTATTTTCATTAGAAATTTGCTTTTTTAGATGGCAAATGAAAACATTTACGAAATCGGCTGCAATTATGAGCAGTGCTTCGACAGAAATGGCAATGTGACCGAAGCTGTGTTCTTCTGCTTCTACAACAAAATGTATGAAACGACAAATAGCTCAGTAGAAGTCTCCATGTCATCCCTTGTTGGAACCTCTGCATCAAGCGGCCTTGGCCGAATTGTTTGGATCTTTCGCCACGCGAGGTTGATAATTGGAAGCTTTATTAACTGGTTCCACGCTTCGACTTTCCGCCTTCTTCGAGGACCCCGAAAAGAGCTCGAAACTTCGATTTCGTAGCTACCCAGCCCCGAGCAAGCTCTCCCCTTTAACGTTCTCGACGTCGTTCGGAACACTACACTACTAACTTTTGGAGGCTTCCACAGCATTGCTGCGAGCACACCCCGTAGTTAGAAGATGTATATGCAAATGGACCTTACTGTAGTGATCCGCTCTAATGTTGCGCAGTACTGGTGGAATCTCTAGTGATTTCTTTTCGTACTGGGTAATTTCGAAGGGTTTCCCAGTACGACGTCAGATTGATGTTGGTTACGTAGCTCCGGAGATATCTGGCTGAGTAGCTTCAATCAAAAACTTCGATCCTTCGTCCAGGCCTCTAAAGAAGACGAAAGGTCGATGCTCAGGCCCGTTATAGAGGCTCCAATTGAATGAACCTTGCGTGGCGCAGGAGAATTAGACAATTAACTCACTATGATTCTGCCAGTTGTTTACAATCTCTATGTCAGTATTACTGGAGCGATAGACATATACGTGATAGGAGACGGGAGGGGCTGTGAATATGATCCTCAGTTGTGCGCGTCAGGGTCCTGCAAGGGTCTACTATGTCGACTATGATCGATCAAATCTTTTCCATTCTTTTGATACGCCGTAGCCTCTTTTTAGGCTCCAAAATGAATTTTGCATCGTTCTCTTTGACAATGTTAATTATGTTGATAGAAAGAAGCGAATTCAACAAAGCAAGAAGCTGCAAATCAGAATAAGCCACGCATTGAAGTTCTACTTATGACTGCGAACATTTGAATTATGCAGCATACAGGTCGCACACTTACAAAAACTCCGCCGTAAAGTATATGTATAAAGAACTGTAGGGAAGTGCTCGGAACCATGACGTGAAAGCGGAACATTGATAGGGGGTCTTTCACATTTTGTGAATTTTCATTTGTCTCGTTTACCTTTGAAAACACTCTATTGCAATCACCCTGCAGACAGCGATTTTGGCATTCAGTACAGCATTAGGTGAGAGTCACCAGCTTTCAACTAGCCCCGTGCTGGCAAAAAATTCAGGAGAGCGTATTGCAAACAAGGTTGAACATTGCTTGTCAGAACTTAGTCATCTTTTCAGCTAGTCAATTGCTGCTCGAATATGGGCTAATACCCTGCTCACTTCGCATGAATAATAACTTGCTGAATGCCGGAATCAATGGGGGGGGGGGGGGGGCATACCGGGAAAACAACTCTAACATGCTGTGTTTGGAGGGTGCGAGCTCGGCGCAGGTTAAATTCAAACTCCATATTTCCATTTCACCAGATCTGCAGAGCTGACGGTACAAGAATGTATTTTCAGCACTACTAGGTTAGAGCTCTGTTACCTATTTGGCGCGTCATATGAAATGCATGCTCATCTTACGCGTATCCTGGACACAATTTGACGCCTAAAGCATCCGCGAAGACATCTCTTTCACTAAACACCCAACGTTTAAAAGAGTTCATGTCTTTACGAGTTATTACTGTGGGGAACTGATCCTTGTTCATGGATATTCACTTAGGTTATAACAGATTTGTAAACTTTTCATGTAATCATGTCACATTCAGGGAGGAAGCTGGATGCGACAATGAAATTATTCAATATTCTGATTTATTGACCGTAACAGATTACTAAGACAACAGCGAGTGTTAAGGTGAAGACCAATATAGCGCGACTCGCGAGCAATTTCGTAATGGATGAAATGCAGTTCGTTCGCTTTCGTGATGGCACTGCAGCATGATGCGTATTTCATCCAGGGGTCGTGAACATTTGCGCAGCATTGAACACCTCCATGATACGTACCCTATTGTGATTCTCATACCCTTGCGCAATTCAGAGACACATATCTGTCGAATTTTACTGGCAAGCAAATAGAAACATTATGCAAAACACGTCTTAGAGGCAATAATTCAAACAGAAGAAGATAGGGCCTGGAGATGAGAATGCTGTTTGTGATACTCCGCACAAATCCGGGAGTGGTCGACTCTAGGCGATGCTCTTTGCGACATAGTGACGTAATAGAAGCATCCAAAGGATCTCCAGCATGCAGCGGCAAATGATCTTATTAAACTGCTTAGCCCTCGTGCCCTGGCATAATTAGCGATAGTATACTAAATTTACAACCGACACTCGCAACTTGTAGATCGCTGGTTATATACTACGAATGGAACTGAAAGCTAATCTGAATATAAACTACCCAACTATGGCGATTGTGAACTCTTGCGGAACATAATTGTTACGAAACCTTCTGACAAGGCTGTTCCCGTGCTCTTGTACGATACTATGTGCGATAGGGTTCCGCAAAAAACTGCATACCTACAACACCATCAACGCTCTACAGGTTTCATGCTTTTCAAGCCGCTCCATATCTGTAGTGAAACATCATTTGTAGCTTGACTGTGTTGCTGGCACAACATCAGCACATCCCATGCTACATTTGAATCTGCGCCGGGCGTGAACTGGATTTCGGTAGCCCTAGACTAATGCTGAAGTTACATTCTTGTGCTGACGGTGAGTCCCTGACGCACTAGGAGGGCAATGTGTGAATGGGCCGGCAATGGAGAAAAAGAAAGAATTCCTCGAAAAGCCCGGAAAGCTCACTAGGCCGACTCTGCCATATAAAATGAGGTGTCCATTTCTAGGCGCATCTTAAGACGTCGAGCACAAATATGTTTCAATTACCTGCTAAACTGTTCTCTGTAAGGAGATACAAAGGGTTTTCTTTGCCGCCCTCACTTTTCAATGTCTGGCTTGCAGTATGTACACTCCATTATAAACATCACGAAGAACCACTGTAGGAAGTTTTGGTGGCACAACGGTGAAAATGTATTATTTCGGGGGAGCCACTCCATAATATCTAACCAAAATGGCAATATCTAACCGAAGTAGAGTTGCGAAGGGCGGTCATATCTAATCAACATTCAGAGCACAGGCTCTGAGTGCACGATTGATATAGATACCAACCCGGGATTCCGTAAAAAATACAAAAATGTAACTTCAGCACTTAGGCCGGGGCTACCGTAATCCGGGGGCATGTCGAATAAACTGCATTGTCGGCGCGCGCACACAATCAACATTATACTAGACGATAAAGGCCTTCTCAATGCACATTGGAATTTGTTGAGTTTGTTACCTTCAATTACACCTTCCATCTAAAATGCCAGTTTCCAGCCGTTGCGCTTTTGCTTTATATTACTCGTTTTGAAAAAGAATATGAAAAAGATTGAGAAAATAAAGGTTCTCCGAGTGTTTGATAGTTTTGTGCAGTCTTCTCGAAGTCATTATAGATAGCATTTTACATGTTCGCTACGGCGCATTGTGGCTAGGGAGAGGAGGGAGCACCACGTGACATTGCGTAAAGATCACGGGAACGCTGAATTTCAGGACCAAGCCTTCGGGGAGAGGGGGACTCACTCGAGCTGCCCTTGAATGGTGCTAAATTGATACCATGAAAATGATATGCTTCACTGAGAATGAAAAAGCCCTACTCGAATTCAAAAGCAATTTTTTCAATGAAGTCGCAAAATGTGAATCGAAAGCTGGGCTGTTTCATTGTAAAACTATCGAAAACTGTCGATAAAGACCCACTTCCAGTTCAGCATTTATCTTCCAAATCGGAATGTGAATTCATTTCTGATAAGTGCCACTCAGATGAATGATCCGTAGCTAACACGATTTAGCGAAAAGATGACAAGCTTTCTGAAATGACGACTACATGCACAGTACAATGTAGGCGATCATGTCTTTAGGGAGGGATATCCAAAAGAGGGCATTGAAAAAACTCTGGCACTAGGAATAAGCCCAGGAAAGGGGAGAAACGTAAGGAGAACAAGGGTTGATCACGTTCTCTCCCAGTATCCATTCCCTTCCTAAAAGCTTAACCCCACGTTCTATAAGAGACTCATTCACTTCGTTACTAACGCCTTCTCCAGGAAAATGGAGGACTTTCAAATGCGAGTGCGACTTCTGCCCACAGACAGGTGCACGGCGTATACCCGAGCAGGCGTTTTCCCAAAAACGCCTCCTCTGTCAGCGGCCGTAAGCAGACAAACTTTCTGAAGAGATTTCGATGCTTTCAAATCAAATCTAAGCGGAACAAAGTGTAGCGAATTTGCTGAATTGAGTTCTAGAGACCCCTTAGGAAAATTGAGGCAGAAGAAAGAATTTCAGAAAATTTCACATTTTGAAGTACTCTTCGAGTAGATTCTAACAGTCTTTACCGCTTCTCATCACATTAATTTTGAAGGAAGTTATGGGCCTTTGAAGACTGCATAGTCGCGGTCCAGGAAAATGGCTTGAAAAAAATCAAGGTGGAAAAACGGAACAACGGGACTATTTTTTGAGCGAGTGATTCGTTGGAAAAATTTCAGGTACTTGTTTGAAAGCGCTAATCTTCTAGTTTCTAATTAGCCTTAGACATCTGCAAAAAGTTGATTATGAAGAAAGTTATGAATGTTTGAATGTCAAAAACTCGCGTGTGCACAAAAACGGAACAACGGGACGATTTTTTGAAATATTGAACTGGAAAATTTTCAGATGCTTGTTCGCAAGCTCAAATAGTTTTTAGGAAAGAACTATTTTTTAAAATTTTGGTGTCCGGTTCATGAGACCGCTTCTGAAGAAAAATATAACCTTCTGAATGGAGGGGTTTGTATTGCAACGTAATTGCTACAAGGTTTAGTTTTTCAGATTATAAAATAAGGAAAATTGAGAGATCGAAAAAATTGGTGGTTCTGAAAGTAGAAATCTTTGTGATTAAATCATGTATTGGTTTACGCAAAAATTTGGAAATTCCTTCTATTTAATGAATAAAACTTCATGTTGCCTCGATTCCCTCCTCTGAGCGAGACAGAGCGCGCGGATTGACCACGGTCCACCACTTCTCCATGTTGGTGACTGCCCACACATCAATGATGAGCATTAAATTATGTGAAAGACATAATAGTTAATACGGGGGGGGTCGTACCGATACCCTCCGAAAAGGAAGGGGGTCGTAAAAATTTTGGAATTTGCGCAACGCAGGGTTGACCCTGGTCACAAGTCTGTGCAAAACTAAGCACAGATTTGCAACGCTTCTTATCCTTCACTTCTAGGTAGTACGCTACTGTCCTGAATCCATCATGCCTCTAAAAGATATGATGGGTTTGTATAGTGCTTCGTTCCAGCATCAAACACAATGTCCCGGCACAACAGAAGGGACTAGTGAACTTTTGAGTGGAAAATGTTTTTTGTGTGCAATATGCTCGTTTTTTTTAGAGTATTGTCCACATCACAAATTGTACACGGCTTGACAAGCGCGAAATGCTGTCGAATATCCACGCCGACACCATTCAATAGATTATTACTGAAGTTGTGGGGGGGGGGTTGTTGTAAACACATGGAGGGTTGTCGAATTCTTCTGACAAATACGTAAACTGCCATAAAGTTACGTTGCAAAAAAAAACGCGGCAAAGCAAATTTTGACATTATCCCTTCGAGAAAGCGCCTTTTCAAGACAAACGGTCCAATGTTTTGTCCCATAACCGTGAACATTGCTCAGGAGTCTCTCGTAACTAACAGTGAGCCGGTCTCCTCCGCTAGAACTATTCCT